TCTTCTTCTTCGTCGTGGTCTTCTTTGCAGGTGCGCGGCAGCTTCTCCAACCTCAGGTCCGCTATGGCGGACTATAGCCTTCGGCGGCCACCTCCGCTATGGCGCATCAGGCCCTGCACACGACGGCGCGCATGGAATAGCGGGCACCAGCTCCGATACCAATGCAATCAGACTCGTCCTCATTCACACTTTTCATGCATGTAAACAGTAGCGCAGCAAACTAGCGACATGCGCCCACTCAAAACTCAGAGATATAGCATCCAAATACGAGTTCACTTTCAACTGGCTATGGCGACTCAGCGTCCAAACAACTCACTGTTCACATACACCGGATCACCCTGGATATCCCACACGCGTCACTCTGAACACTCACACATACACCCACACACTTCACACTAAACTACAGCTATGGCAGCTATGGCTGCCTCTACCCTATCGCTATGCTACGCTCCTTCTCTCTCGCCCACTTCAGCTACGGGCTCTCTGCAGACCTCCTTGCACAAGTCGTTGTGGCAGCGCTTCCGCATGGCTCACGCAGGAATGAATGGATGGTTGCGCGCTGCCTCTTGATTTATACTTGTGAAACTCGGTGGTCTGCCCCTTTCCATCAGCCCATGGTGCTCACATTTCCTTGTGGTACTTGCTGGACCGGACTGGGACTGACTGGAGCTTACCGCTAACTGACTGTGGACTCACTGCTAACCTACTGTAGCCGTACTGCAATTGCACTGCAGTTTAGTCCCCCACTTGACTCGCCACTTGCCCACTTGCCCACTTGCTGACCTTCTAGAAGGACTACAGCTAGGCTTCTGGAACTCGCTAAGACTCCTACTCTATAGATCTACAGATCGAACCCCTGCTTCCGATGGGACCCTACGAGAGACTACTAACTGTTACAAATACACAGGTCGTCGGTTCAAGCCTTGGGGCCGACACAAATGCTGTACATCGGTAGCGTGAGGGCTAGGGATTGAACCCTGGGGTCTGAATCTGGTGAAAACCGTTTCATCTGCAGGTATCCGGAAGAATCTGGTCCAAGCGGGACACGTGGGAAATCTGCAATTCAACTGTACGCAATCCAAGCCATCGGCTGACGACCAATCTGGACGGTCGTACCCGGAGGACCAGAGGTTGGTCATCCTCGGTCAACTCCATAAATTGACCCAGCCACTGCGAGCGGGCATTTAGTCTTGTGCATGCTGCTGGACGCTGGCTTCACGCTGGTGCCACAATGGGAGACTGCTGACGCTTTATGTTGGCGCCATTCTCTGTCTGTGGCACCGGCCTTGTGAGTGATTATGCTGACGTGGCTATGGCCACACTGATTCTGACATTGATGGAGTGTGGGCGAGGAGGAGGAGGATCAGGGCTGTGAGATTGACTCGATAGTTGAAGGGAAGCTTACCTGGTTAATTGTGTCGACATTGTGCTTTGCTGATCGTCTTTAGTGGGAGGATCTGCGCCATCCTCCCTGGCCGCTGCTGACGTGGCGAGAGGATGGGCGCCCTGTTGTAACCTGCTTATCGTCAGGGAGGAACCGATTGCTGACATGGCGAGTTGGGAGATAACGCCAGAAGCGGAAGTGGGTCGATGAGGGTCTCTACTCTGCGATGATAGTGCAAACTCTCACTCTGCAGTTTGGTATCAGAGCGATATCCTCCTTTCCTCGCTATCTGCTGATGCGCGACACTTCGCGTGGTGGTATCTGACTTGCGTACCCGTTTTGGTGCCGTGCACCAGTTTCGCGCACTTGGTTGGTACGATGAAGCGCACTGCCTACGTGGCAGCGCACAACGGTGCTGACGTGGCACCTACCTGAGGAACAGTGAGGTACATTGGCTGACGTGGCATTCCTTAAGAGTGTCGCATCCTCGAAGCATCAGTAGCAGATCCAGTTCGACGTGGGACATTCAAGACGACATTCCAGTGGGCATATACAGGTTGACCAGAAGTTCACTACTCACGTGTTCGCAACGTGACTCCATCACTGACACGGCCTAGACGGCCCATTGATGTTGATGTGGCACTTGTCTTGCTGATGTGCCACCGAGGCTTTGCTGGAGTGCGACATGTGGCAGACCTGATGTGATACACTACCAAGCTGAAGGAAGATTGGTGGGAACAGAACCCTGCACGTGCATGGCCTTGCAGGCAGTACAGCACGAGGCTAAGTTGTGGTGCCACACGCCAGAGCATGTGTCTGGTGCAAGGAAAATGAGCGATAGGCGTCGATAGCGAAATACAGAAACCAAGCTGCGTCATACATATGAAATCAGATAGTCTTGACCTCGAACCAAAAGCAAAATTGCAACTAGAAATACACCAAATAAGAGCACAACAGAGTTCACAAATGACAATGTTGGAAAAGTCTCGTCATAATCATCAATGAACCAATGTCGTTCCCCTATGTGGCGCTCGGCGCCCAGACTACAACTGGGAGATCCTATCTAGCCTATCTACAAATGCCGCTGGTGACATCAACAACTTTCCGAAGTACGAGCAGATCTCGGTCAATGCTGTCCGCATCAAGCACCAGGTATGTCCTCGCCACACTCACAATCTCGATCCCCCACACAAATGCCACATGCACCCGAAGAGCACCATGCGTGTCATCCAGCAATGTGCAGGCAAGCCCGGCGTTCAACCCTGCTCGCCCGTGAGCGAGTAGGCACTCGCATCAGCAGCTAGCGCAGCTGCACTTACGCATGAAGCAGCGAGTGCCCGAATGCCCTGCCAGTGGCCAGGCCCTTTTCTTTATGGAAAGTGGCTGCCAGTCGTGAGCTGCCTCGCCGGTCTGGGCCTCTGCCCAGAATCTTTCGGTAGGCCCAAAGTGGCTGGGCCTCTGTCCCAGGGGAATATTCTGCGAGGCCCCTGGCAGTTACGCGTGTCCAAATGCCAGGCATGTTGTGTACAGTTTGTGCCTCGTGATTGGCCCAAGGCCTGCCTCTGATTCTTTCAGGAAGGGCCTGCAAGCCCGAAACAAATGTTGTTAGGCATGGTTTGGGCTCACTCAACCAACTTATGCTGCGTAACTGTCTGATTTTCCCCAGTTGCGAAAAACACAAAAATAGGCCTCTTCTAACTTATCAGTCTGCCTTCACTTAGGGCGGCCTTACTTGCTGGAACAGGCCCAAAAGGGCTTACCAAGGCCTTGAGTCTCACATTCCCTCCTCCATACTGTGATAGTCCTCTGAGAAGTTCACTCAATCTGGCGCTTTCCTTTCTGCAACGACTTCTCATAATGAGCGACAACCTGCGGTCTGCATCAGTTTCTATCTCGTAAACCATCTGTCCTCTTTTGGATCCCTATGATGTCTGAAGCGTACATGGAACTGTAACTTTGGCTTTGGAGGTCGACCCCTGCAAGATGGTCTCGGCATCAGCATCTCCCTGTGCTCCACAATGCTATCGATGTCGACTTCTCCATCCATGGTTGGGGTCGGCATAGACCGACGAGAGGGAAACTGATCAGTTTCCTCGAATGGTGCAAGTTTCGAGGCGTGAAAAAGAGGGTAGGTGCAAAGGTGACCAGGGATATCGGAGGGAACTGTACTCGGCGGCTCTACATTAATACTCTGTTATTTAGCTGTGACATTTTTTATAAAGGTCGAGGGATAGGGCTTGCCGTTTCTTAAAGTCCATAGGGTGTTGGAACACTTACCCACCCCGGTCGACCTTCAGTAT